AGAAATCCTCTGCCCCCCTAATTTTTACATTTTTGTAGAAACCAGGTCTTAGAATGTTGCCTAGGCTAATCTCAAACTCTTGGCCATAAGCAATCCTCCCATCACAACCTCCCAAAGTACTGGTTTTACAGGTGTGAGCCACTGTACTACACCTGGTTTTAAAATTTAACTGAGTAGTGAAATCAAGAGTGACTTTCATGCCAAGACATCAAGTCATTTAAGACTTTGTTTTACCGTTTTTCTAGCCATCTTTATGTTTTCTAGAAGAAAACTTTTTGCTGTGGTGCTCATCTGAATCTGTGGTTTCAGGGGCCTCTTTTGTGCTGGAGGGTGGATACTACCTCCCTACTCCCTGTCCCCACTCCAGCTTGACACATACAGAAGGTTGCCAAATCCTCTTTCCTCTCATTGTCACACTCTCTTCCCTTCCTATAACAAAAAGTCAAACCAAACCTCTACCAATTTAGGATTTCTAGCTTTAAATATAATTTCATTTTGTCATTATTTTTGGCTTTAACTTAAAAAGTTAAAGCAAAAGTTTCAAGTATTTTTTATTTTTGACATAGAGTCTCACTGTGTCACCCTCCGTATAGTGCCGTAGCATCACAGTTCGCAGCAACCTCAAACTCTTGAGCTTAAGTGATTCTTTTGCCTCGGCCTCCCAAGTAGCTGGCACTACAGGCACCCACCACAGTGCCTGGCTATTTTTTTTTTTTTTTTTTTTGTCATTGTTGATTAGTAGGTCTGGGCTGGGTTCGAACCCACTAGCCCTGGTGTATGTGGTTAGCACCCTAACCATTGAGCAATGGGCACTGAGCCTGAGGTATTTTAAAAATAAAATTATTTTAATTTTTCTGGGTCTCTCTTCCTCTTTTTCTAGTTCATTATCCTTACATTTGGTGGGTGATTATGTCATTCTGGCTGTTGACAACTACATCGATTGAACTTCATTGCTCGTGCCCGAAACTTATCTTTTCTTCAAGGAGATACAGCTTTAGGATCATTTTAAGGGTGGCCTTTGGTAAAGTCATGTTACTTGGTGGCTATGGGAGGTAGCAAACATTCGCACACAGGATCTGAGTGAAATCCAGCTGTGGTTGAAGTAATCGGAATGTACTCTTACTCCTCTGTCTCGGTTTGCTTCTTTTATATATCCTGAATCCCAGTTTTATTTCCAGGCATCTCTCTTTCTGTTTCTGTCTTCCCTTGGCATTTAGTTCTCCCGTTTGTTCTGCTGTGTATTTCTTTTTATTCCCTTCTTTTTGGCCTTTGTAGGAATTTGTATTTGTGGATATACTGAGAGATACTTGTTTAGAGAACCTCCTCTGGGCACTAGTGTTGCAATTGTATTTTGGTTATTTTGTAGGTTTAAAATGGAAGAAGACAAAAGTGGAGTCAAATATCTAGGCAGGGGCAGTGCCTGTGGCTCAAAGGAGTAGTGTTCTGGCCCCCTATGCGCGAGGTGACGGGTTCAAACCCAGCCCTGGCCAAAAACTGCAAAAAAAAAAAAAAAATATATATATATATCTAGGCAGTACAGCCACAGAATTCACTTGAAGTACAGTTTGTAATGATGATACACTCACGGGCTAATAGAATATGAACGGAAGAGCTTATGTAGAAAATACAGCTCTTTTCCAGTCTTCTCATTTGAAGATGAGAAAACTTGAAGCCAAGGTTGGGGCAGTGGTTTGCCCAGATACATGCTTCTTCTGATGCTGATATTATGAAAGTGCTTTGCCTAAATGACTGATGGGATTAGAACTTCTCTCATATCTGATAACACTGGGAAGCAGGCTGAAAGATGTCATTAAGTTACTGAGCAAACAAATACATTTGGTCACTTTTTATTTTAGGTTTTTGATGTATAGTCCCTGGGAATGAGGTTTCCCTTTGCTTTTAATTCTGGTGTGGGTTTCAAGGGTGACATCACACCTTTTATTTGAAATCTCAGTGTAGTTGGAGCTCATGAAAAGTACCTCTTCCTAATATTTGTTCCCTCACCCTCACAACTTTAAAACACACACATGCATATATCACACATTTAGAGAGAAAAAGGAGTAAGGAGTGATCACCGTGCAAATTGTTTATTAATACTCTGCACCAGTGGATATAGAATGAGAATAAGAATAAGTTACTTTTGGGAGTGCTTGTTATTTTATGTGTCTGTTCCTCACAGTAGTCCGTTGAGGTGAAGGGTTGTCAAACTGGGATGTTGAGAGTGGTTACCCTCGTCATGGTTATACACAGAGCTAGTAAAGGCTGGAGTGAGGAGTGGTTCACCTTGTGCAGTGTCTGAGTTCCTACTTCAGCCAGTGTGCTCTACAGAGGACTCACCCACCCAAGCAGACATTGTGACTTTGCAGGCAGGAGGCCAATGGGGAGTTGTGAGCCATTCAGGAAGAGGGATCATAGGTGTACAGGCACAAATAGTGTTGGCCAAGCATTAGGTCTGAAGTGTGAGTTGTGCACAGGGAAATAATGGAGTACAGGCTGAGTGGTGGGTCAAGTTCAGATTACTAGTGTTTGGGAAACATTGAAAGGTTTCAACAAGAGACATGTTCCTCATTCCTCCTCTGCCAGCACCCCTTCTTTTTCTCTTTACCCAGCAGTATGAGGCCATGTCCTAGGAAGTGAAGTGATCAGGGAATTGGGGGTAGCGTATCTTAGTCTTTCATGTAATTTCTTATTTTTGTTAGCCTGGTACCTCTTCCTTTCTGTGTCTCATTGTGTCTGAATCCTTGTGTGAGAATGGGGTGTGCGGTCATGAGAAGGGAATTGGGAGTCTGCTTGTTCCTTATGTGGATATCAGCCAGGCTCTGTGCTTTCATCCCGATGTGTTACCTGTACCCTGTGAAAAGCTTTCTGCTGCCAATTCTGAGCTGCTCTGGGCTTCTGATGGGTTTGGTGGATTGCCTTTTGCAGAAGCCCCCCATCCCTAAGCCCCACCTCCATAGCCTTGGGCTTCCCTGTCCTGTATCATTTACCACTCTGTGTTTTCCAGCTTACCTTCTTGTTTCGTCAAAGACAGACCCAGTGTTTCTGTTTCCATGTTGTCATTTGGGGGTGAATTTTGAGGGAAAAGGGTGCATCTTCAGGCTAGTAGAAATCCCATTCTTCATCTCTAGCATTTAGTGAGGTTTTCTCTTTCTAGTACTTAGTGGGCTCTTGTTAGTTCACCAGGAACTCACAAGGCGGTGGAACAGTGGGGATATGTACAACAGAACATAGGGCACCTTGAGGAGGTATTTTAGCTTTAGGGATTTATAATAATTTATGCTCTCTGTTCCTTGTTTTTAAAGAAGCTATCATCATATTTGCTTGTGATGAGTTACAGAGGTCAACAATTAGCCTCTGTTCCTATATAAATACTTTTATTAGCACTGTCTCTATCCTTGGAACTTGACAGAATGATTTCAGGAGCTTCACTGATAAGATACATACATGCTAGACGTATAGTTGAGGCATTAGTAGACGTCACAATTAAAATGGCCTCTGAGTCACACATGTGATGCAGATTGTCTCATTCAAAGTAAGAAATCGTGAAAGGGAAGGAAGTGGTCAGATAGAAATATAAGCATCTAAGATGTGAGACCCGTACATATTGTAAGTAGCTGTTTATTGTGATATCATGGAAGATGTCAGTGTAACAAGTGTTTGAAAATGTCTGCTTTGGTGTGATTTCAGTGAGGAGGACATGTACCGTGCTGCAGATGAAATAGAAAAGGAGAAAGAATTGCTTATACATGAAAGAGGGGCATCAGGTATGTTTGGAATTATTTTATTTGTAGAGTTCTTACTGTATATAGTAGAAAATGTAGTTAAATTGGTATACTCATTTTTATAAAATACTGACTTCCACTTCTAGGAAGTATTCTAATGAGCATGGTCTTACATTAACTATTTGTTTTGCTGAAGTATATTTAGGGAAGCCTGGGGTTTTAAAATTTTAATGTAGATACTCACTCTGCACTCTTTATATTCATATTGTTTTTTGCACCTGTAAAGATTGTTCTGTTTAATCTTTTGACTCTACCTTCTTGATTTCCCTATACCCATAGAGGGTAAGTTCAAATTTGACATGTGTTTCTCATTTCAAATTGAAGGACTTACTGAGAAGCTGGCTGTTCACATATACACAGATATGCATATGGCCATGTGAATCTCATTGATGAGGAACAAAGACAGTCATGGGATCAATAACACTAATTCTCATTCTCTGTTGATTTGATGTCCATGTTTCTCATCTGTCTTTGCCAGCTTTTCTTACTGCCACCAAGACCCATCGGTGCTAGGGGTATACCTGGCTCTCTTCACTGGTCTGTGGAGACTTGGCTGGCAGGGCTGTGTGTGATGAAATACATCCTTACTTCCTTGGCTGACCTCATGCAGGAGCCAAGTGGGGATACTCTTTTTTTTTTTTTTTTATAATGTAAATACATTTTTAATGCAAAAAGGCATAAAATTTTCTTATATACAACTCACTTATCCATTGTATAACAGCAAATATATCTGTAATCCCAAGTATAAATCTTTTGAAGAAAGAGTTAGATCAATACATCATTATGGAAAAACATGCATACTCAATAGACGATGAATGCTACTGAGACAAAGACTTTTATTTTGCATATATTTAAATTCTCCAATTCCTGACAGGATTCTCGGAATATAGTTTCTCAGTTAATGAATAGCAAATTGATTTGGTTAAATTAGTAACTATGGACTTGCCTAACAACAGTATAAAATAAACAGATAATTCACCAGAAACTGGCTTCTAGATACTAATTTTAATTAATTTGGAACAACATTATTTAATACCAGATGTTTAACAAGCATCCCTTATAATGGCTACACTGAAATCATCATAATTTGTATCTGATCAGCTATATAAAACTCACCAGTTTTTCTTCTGACAAAAGGTAAAATCGAAATCTCAAAGAATAAAGGAAGAGACTACTCATTAATGGTCACGTTTACTAATCTAGCACCATAATTCCAGTCTTAGACTCTCCCATGCAGCTGGAAGGATATGGGAAGAAGTAAGGGTGTTGGAAATGTAAGGGCAGTTCTTAACCTGGGCCCATTTTCACTCTAAGGCAACACAGGGTCTAGCAAAGAAGAAAATCGCTGCGGCTGGAGCTTTTGGTTCAGATGGTAAAGGCAGCCCTAAAGAGCAGGAGAATCAGTGTATCTAGAAGGCAGTGCTGGAGTCGGCCTTAGGAAGTAGGGGGTTTCTTCCTGGCATCCAAGTCCTTTTTATTTCTTCAAGTTTTTTAGCCATGTCATAGTTCTGAGCCAGCTACATTCCAGCTACGTTGCTGAAAGTAAATCCAAGAAATCACATGTCTGATAAGGGTCTTGTATCCAGAATATATAAAGAATTATTATAACGGACTGGGGCATGATGGCGACAGAAAAGGTACTAAGGAAGGCTCTGGGATACTCTTATTTGAGGATATTCCATAGATAACTCACAAAAGGCATTTTCTCTCATTACCTGTATAATGTATGAGGGGATTTCAATTAAAATATTAAAAAAAACCCTTTATTTCTTAGCACAAATATGATCAAGTTCAAGATACTTTTGTAAGCATCTTTTACATTTAGCGTGTCTGAAGGAACTGACATGGAATTTAACCAGGTTAGCGCAGTCTCACTGAAGAAAATTGGGTGTTCTTTAAAGATTTTGTAAGATAAAAAACAAATCAGAAGGAGCCAAACCAGGACTGTTAGATGGATGCTAATGATTTCTCATTGAAACTCTTGCCGCTGTTGAAAGGAGTGATCAGGAGCATTGTCATGGTGGAGAAGGACTGAAGCTTTCTTAACCATTTTTCTGGTAAAGCTTTAGCTAACTGTCTTAAAACGCTCTCATAATAAGCACTATTTTTTGGTCCTCTTGTTGAAAGTCAACAAGCAAAATGCCCTGAGTATCCCAAAAAACTGTTGCCTCGACCTTTGTTCTTGAGTGGTCCACTTTTGTTTTAACGAGATCTCTTTCCCCCACCTTGGTAGCCATTGCTTTGATTGTGCTTTGTCTTTAGGATTGTACTGGTGAAGCCATGCTCCATCTTCTGTTACACCTTGTCAGAGAAATGCTGTAGGATCTTTAAAATTTCCATTGAAAGTTCTGCTCTTGTCTCCGCTGATCTGGGCACAGTGGTTTTGGCACTCATCCAGCGGAAAGTTTGTTCAACTTTAATTTTTCATTCAGAATTGTGTAAGTTGAGCCAGTTGAGATGTCTGTGGTGTTGGCTCTTGTTTCTGCTGTTAATTGTTGATCCTTTTCAAATAGGGCATGAACAGGTTAATTTTTTCCTTGGATGTGGATGTCGCTGGTCTGATGCCATGAGCTTCATCCTCAACATTTTCCCTTCTTAAAAGACTGATCCATTTGTAAACTGCTGATTTCTCTGAGGCATTGTCCCCATAAACTTTTTGGAAAGCATCAATGATTTCAACATTCTCCCACCCAAGCTTCACCATACATGTGGTGTTTATTCAGCTTTTAGCAGAACTCATGTTTCTCTGAAAGGGGCTCTTTCTGAACTGATGTCTTATCCTTAGTACCTCAGACTAGAGCCTGTTCACATTTTTTCTAAGAAGTATGAGTTTATTTTGTCCAAAATTTTTGAAATCCATGCATAATTTTTTCGTAACATGCATTTTTTCATGAAAATAAGTGATCTTTTTTTTTTTTAATAAGTAGTCTTTTTGAAGACCCCTTATATGTGTGCTACTGGTTTATTTGAGAATTGGCTTCTATTTATGCTTAACAAAAGCATTGTCATAGGTGTAATTAGGAACAAATGATACATAGTAGGGTTTTTTTTAGTAAGAATTTCTGAGTCTTCCTCATAAGGAATTGGTTAACTCTTCACTGTGGTAGCCAAAGGAGGTATTCTTTGTAGCCGTTTGTGTGTCCTTGGGCCACACTGTTCTGGTCCTCTGTAACACTTGAGAACAGTGGTTCTCAACCTTCCTAATGCCGCAAGCCTTTAATACAGTTCCTGTGGGTCATGACCCACAGGTTGAGAACTACTGCTTTAAAGTATGCTCATCCCTACCCCTGCTGTGGTTGTTTAATGTTCCCATAGGACACAGAGTCCTGACTGGTTACATTTCTAAGGAAGAAGTACGTATGCAGCCAGCATCTGTTACTGCTGAGGGGCCGCTCATTTTCCACTTTGCAGGGTCTCTTTTGGAATGTTTCTGTCCTAGCTTGGGCCCCTCGCAGGTCTTCTAGCTTTTCAGTGGGTGTTACAGCTTCCGGCTTCCGTCTGAGAGTAAAGTGGGTCTCTTTACAGTCCTCCTTGCATCTCAGTCCTTCTGGGTTTATCACCCTTCCTAAAATACTGTTCTTTGGAAGTGTCTCTTCCCCTGAAGCAGAGTCCAGACTGACGCAGAAGATTTTCTTATTGTGTTAGTGAAAAGATTTTTTTTTCCCACCTACTATGAAGGTCGGCAAATATGACCTTCCACCTGCTTGTGTAAATAACATTTCTTGGGAACTTAATAGTTTGTTATCTGTGGTGGCTTTCATGGATGGTAAAGTTGAGTAGTAGTGACAGAAACCTTATGGCTCTCAAAGCCAAATTGTTTCCTGTCTGGCCCATTTCAGAAAAAGAATTGACATTCCTGTCCTAGTATTACCCCCTGTTTGAGAGTCCCAGCTCTTTGGAGGGGTTTCAGTTTTAACTTCCCACCTTCAAAGAGTCTGATTCTTATTGTGACCCATGTGGTGGTTAAAGATTAAGCATTTTGGTTATTTCAACTGCTGGCTTACCGCTCTGAGTTTCAACTTCCCTTATTTTTATTTTTGCCATTAGACATGTTCTTTCCTAGGAACTGCAGTCAGAGAGTCTAAGTAGTTTGCAATTAAGGAAAGGTACTGTTGTACTCCATAAGCTGCTTGAAGTCAGTTTCTGCCTCGTCCTGTGTCTCCAGGTCTTTGCCTCGTGCGTGGCATGTAGTAGCCAGTGGAGTCGTCCTCCCAGGGAACCATAGCAGAATGGGAATTCAGGTGTCATTTGCTGCCTAGCTATGAGGGACCCCAGCTTCCCAAACCTCACCGCCCAACGTAGGCCTCTGATTGGACTTGGGCCTACGTAATGTTGGACTTGGGCCTACGTGAGGCCCATGGCATCTCCTCTCAGTCCTGAGGTGCGTGGCCTCCCCTGCTCTGCCCAGGAGGCCAGGGCTTGTCTTGCTGTGCCCAGGAGTCAGGACTATGATGATGACTGCGGCAGGAGAGCAGGAAGGCAGATACTCTTCCCTGGGTGGCCCTTCCTGAGCTGGAACTGTGCTCTCTGTTTATGCTGATAACCCTGCCTGCTGGGAAAATGTGGGCCAGGGACTGTCCTGACTCTCTACATGTGCAATTCTTCCCTTTTGGGGATGTGCGTGGAAAGGCAGATAAATGGAACACGTCCTTCCACTAAGGAGACACTCAAAAATATTTCTTTAAATATTTAAAAAATGAAGGGTCTTTCTTTAAAGACCGGCTGTGTAGCACTGGTGTTTGTGGTCTCTGTATATTATCCCTCAGGGCTCTGTTTGACTTTTACTAATCCTGATGCTTCTGTTATCCTTATCTGTCTTATTTTCCCTCTTACGTGAATGGTTGCTTTTCTTTCTGAAAGGATTCATAATGAGATTTTTAGAAAGAGGCAGTTTTATAGTTTACTTAAAAAATTTTTGATTAATTTAAACTACAAGGAGAGTTAGGGTCTCTCCTTTGTGCTCTTCCACCATCCTGGCGTCCTCACCCTGGCTTGTAAATGCCTGTTGGTTTTCTTCTTGAGTAGTCTGTAAGTCCCTTTAGAACACAATCTGTCTTCTTTACTTTGATATCGCTAGCTCCTCAGTGCTTGGCACATACTAGCCGTTCAGTAAAGTGTTTGCTGAATTTAGTTGAACAGAAGCATCTTTATTCTTTGTACAACTTCCTCAGGGGTAAGTATGTTAAAAGGTACTTCTGTATTTCTATTTTAAGATCATCACTAAGATTTGTATCTTTAATAATTTAAAAAGGAAGTCAAGATGTGCCTGAGATTTTTACCTCATTTTCTTCCTAAAACACACACGCTAAAATATGCTCAAGTGTATATATGCTTACACCACAAGAGCAAACCCCAGACTGCCTACATTAGATAAGGAAAACCTGAAGGCCATTTTTTTACTATAACAGTTGTCTGACTGTGAGTTGTGTTTTTAATTTTGGAAAATATGTTGTTAGAGTCGGATGAGGTCTGTGGATCAGTAAACACTGAGAGTTCTGTTAGTCTCTGGTTAATCATCAACTACTTATAGCCTTTGGGATCAGGGTAAGACATAAATTAAGACAATTACATGTAATTTTTATTATAGTGGGTGTTATCTCTTTACTATACTGGTTTCTATGGATTGTAAGACGTTTTTTTCTCATAGTTTGGACTGTTTCTTCTTTAATTTGATTAGAAAAATGTTCCCAAACACCTGTGGCAGTACAGTTCTGGGCGTGGACAGGACACAGCTGAGAAACAAAGCCCCTGCCCTCAAGGAGCTCACATTTTGCTGAGCGCATGGTTGTGTGGTCAGAGTTGGTAGGCTCTTAGAGTCGAAGGAGTCTGAGGTGAAGTGAGAAGAGTAGGGAATGGCAGAGTGTGTAAGATGCTGTGGCGGCAGGGCGTGGGTGATGCTGGAGCAGAGGCCTGCGGGGGTGAGGGAGCTGCTGTGTGGCAGCAGGTGTGTGCAGGAGTACTGAGGGTTTCAAGTGGGGCTGGGACCGGGTCTGTGTAGGGAGTGGTGGAGCTGAGGCCAGAGAGGTGGCAGGGGCCTTGTGGGGAATAAGACCATGAGATGGCAAGATCCTGAAGCTCTCTGAGCCCAGGAGCGTGGATGTCGTCTGACTCATGCTTGGGTGGATCACCCCGGCTAGCTACCGTGTGGAGAATGGTATGAGGGGTGTGGTGACAAAGGAGGTCCACTGGGAGACTCCCATGGTTATCTAGGGGAGAGGAGATGGTGGTCAGGGGTAAGTGGTGGAGGAATTCTAGATATTTTGAAATGAAATGAGAGAGCAAAGTAAGGAGTGAAATATGACCCCCAAGTAACACAGTATTGTTATTCTGATTATGCTTTGGTTTGTTATTGGCTTTTTTTTTTTTTTTTTTGATTCTTAGAACCTAGATTAAGTGTGGCTCCTGAAATGGATATTATGGACTACTGCAAAAAAGAATGGAGGGGAAATACGCAGAAAGCAACATGTATGAAACAGGTATGACACAGAGGTGCACATATTTTAGTCTTTGACATCGTCTCTCGTAAGTTAGTTACTATGCCATTTTGTATTTTTAGACATTTGTTAAGATGACTGCTATTATACTTAGTAAATATTGGTGTTCTAATTTTAGAGATGAGGAAACAGATGCTAAAGATAAAGGACTTGTTTAGAGTCACAATATTAATACAGAATCAGCATCAGTTATTCAGTAACTTAAGTTCTTTGAAAAACACATAAATGACTCTGCTGTTCAAGAATTGGGCCAGCCATTGGTTGTCCTCTTGAGGTCATTTGAGAATGACCTTTTTAGCCTTTGTACCCCCTCTTTCCATACCACCCTGGCTTTGGTTACACACCCTGCAGTTTTAGGGGCCTAGAATCCTTCTCCCTCCCTACCCAGAGGGACCTGGGACTGCTTTCTTCATTTAGGGCATCTCAGGAGCCGTCTCCTCCCTGTGCCATTACATAGATTGGCAGCAGTTTCTAAGGTATAGGGTGACATTGGGGGCTCCTGTGATATGGTCACTCTGTAGTTATTTGGGTCATTTCATTGCTCAGCTGACACATGGTGGCCACTTACATTGCACAGCTAATTAACCAGCAGATCCTGACCCTGTGGGCTCTATCCTCAGATGTATTTCAGATCTAACATGACTTATTAGTAAGTTGAACCATGTGAAATTGCTGCTATTTGACCATTTGGGGGCCATAAAAAAAGATAGTTTCCACCTAAATCCACTACCTCTAGTAACCTCTGGTTTATATCTTTTGCTTATTTTTCTTTTGGGATTATTTACCGTGAATTTGAATATAGTGCTCAAATATTAGATATACTGACCTATCATTTTTGATAGAACTATCTTTTAACATTTTTTGCTTAGAACTTTAATACGTAGCATTTAAAATTTTAAAATATTTGAATACATCTATTCTTTTCCTCAGAGCTAGTTCTTGATGTTCACCTTTCAGTATGTACATCAACTGCTGATGGGCTGGGCTTAGTTGAAATATAGCTGCCACTTGTAAAGCTCTGAGAGCAAATGGCAGCTCTGCTCCCTGGAAGTCTGGTATGTAGACACCCTGTTAGGTGTGTCTTAAAGGACCCTGTTAGTCCTTCTTAAAGGACTCATTCATGAAATATCTGGGACTCTTAGCTCCTTTCAGAGGTTAAGAATATATTTGTGAAATCATCTGCTAGATACGCGATGGGCTATATGTAGATTTTTCCAACCCCCTACCCCTGAATCAAACTAGATAACCAGAAAGCCAAGTATCTAAGCTGTATTTTCTCATGTTTCCTAGAAATACTTTCAGTGATTTACATTTTTATTTTATAACTTCAGTTCTCTTCAAAGGATCTGTCCTGACAGTTGGCATCATGAAGTTCACAATTAAAGATGTCGGAATTATCTAAATGTTCCATGTTTTGGAAGTCATGTTGAAGTCATTCCTCCATGGGGTTAGTTCTAGGGAAAGAAAGATTTGACCTTGAAGCTGGACTTTCTTAGTGATCAGAGTATCAAAGGTACATCAGTTAGGAAAGCATCTCCATCAGGACCTATGGCAGTAATCAGAGTATCTCAGGTGCCTAGTAACAGCTTTCCTCTCAGTTTTGTTTTAGTCCTTTTTTGTGTAATTGTTTTGAATATTCTTTTGGAAGTAAGTCTAGATAAATCTAAATTTAATTTTAAAAGGTTTGATTCACCTCTGAATTAACATGAACAGTTTATGCATTTGACAAGGTGCATTTGGAGTTGTATTTGCCATCGTAAGTGTTCCAGGGCAGTTGGGGTTCCATCATAGGGAAAAGGTGCATGTTAGTAGATGTGAGTCTGCCTGATGGGTCATTATATGTTGCAGTGGTTGGACCACTAATAAAAAGTGAACTCTCAAAATTTTATTATTGGAAGGAAGTTCTTTTTTTTTTTTTTTTGAGACAGAGCCTCAAGCTGTCCCCCTGGGTAGAGTGCCATGGCATTACAGCTCACAGCAACCTCCAACTCCTGGGCTCAAGCGAGTCTCCTGCCTCTGCCTCCCAAGTAGCTGGGACCACAGGCGCCCGCCACAACGCCCAGCTATTTTTTGGTTGCAGCCGTCATTGTTGTTTGGCGGGTCCGGGCTGGGGATTCGAACCCGCCACCTTAGGTGTACGTGGCTGGCGCCTTAGCCAGTTGAGCCATAGGCGCCGAGCCAGGAAGTTCTTTTATATTCACTTAGACCAGTGGTTCTCAACCTTCCTAATGCTGGGACCCTTTAATACAGTTCCTCATGTTGTGGTGACCCACAACCATAAAATGATTTTCGTTGCTACTTCATAACTATAATTTTTTTATTATTTTTTATTAAATCATAACTTCGTACATTGATGCATTTATGGTGTCAGGGTACTGCTTCGATATACAATGTGAAATATTTACATTGAACCAAGTAACACATCCATCACAATTACACTCATTTCTTAATAGTTTTGAAATGTACCATTGCATCATGCACATTTGGTGAGGTCCCCCCAAATGCCTTTCCTTCTCCCACATCCCCTCTCCTCACCCCTCTCTCCTCTTCCCTTCTACTTTATGGACTGTAGTTACATTTTGCCATATGTATGATTGTATAGGTGGTTATATATTGATTTCATAGTAGTATCAAGTACATTGGATACTTTTTTTCCCATCTTTGATACTTTACTAAGAAGAGTATGTTCCAGCTCCATCCAGATAAAGATGTGAAGTCTCCATCTTTTTTATGGCTACATAGTATTCCATGGTGTACATATACCATAACTAATTTTTGCTACTGTTATGAATTGTAACGTAAATATCCGATATTAGGCGACCCCTGTGAAAGGGTCATTCGACCCACAACCCACAGGTTGAGAACTGCTGACTTAGAACATTATCCTGTGGCTCGAACCTTAAAAACAACCTAATGATGAGGTTCCAGTACTTAGATACATGGGATGAGGTTGTCTGCATTTTGCTGAGGTTGACATTCTTTTCTTTGAGTTCAGGGTAGGAAGTAGGTTTTGAGTGACTATCAAGGAAGAGCAGGAAGAGTGAAGGGGCTGACTGGATCTGGGGCCAGTGGGTTGGGTACCACAGAGTTGGTCCCCATGAGTGTGAAGTATCCAGCTGGACAAGTCAGGGCATCACACGTACTGGTGGACTGCAGTCACTCTGATTTTATGGTGTCCTTTTTTGGGGTATGTTTCAAAGTGGCCTATTTGGATGCCTATTTGGGGAAGCCAAGCACGTCACTGAACATTTTCATTTCCTTGTTTTACTTCCAGACTAAGCAAAAGTGACACTTCAGTCCACTTTTTAAAAAGAGTCTAAGAATTATCCAGACATCTTCAGGCATGTAAACTTTTATATATATGTACATACACATACCATACACACACACCCCTTGGAAACTTGGGATTTTTTATATATTTTTAAAATATGGAGATACAAACATGTACATAGCCTAATGTATATCCTCATATTAATCTAAAATTAAAAAATTAGTTGTACATGTCTTTTTTCTTTCCTCTTCATTAAAAAGTTTAAGGTCAATTTAAATACAGATTAAACCTTTCAGAATGTTGGTTATCAGTGAGTGTTAGAATAATTGCTTAGAAAGAGACCTATCACTTCAGCTTTGGGGGTGGCTAGTACTTTAGTATGTGGTTATTATTTTCTGTGTCTAATCTGTTGCATCTGTTACATGCTGATATTTTTTATAGTGCGAACATTTGTTAACTTCTTTTGATTGATAAAGAGAAATTTGCACATCTTACGTGAAGGACTCAGTCTTGTTTCCATTAGGAATGAAACTCTACCTGCTTTCTGAGTCAGTAATGACCATTTTGAATTCTTTTATACTTCTCCCCAGGGCTATGAGGAGGTATCTCAGAGATTCACTTCCATAAGGCGAGTCCGTGGTGATAATTACTGTGCACTGAGGGCCACACTGTTCCAGGCCATGAGCCAGGCAGCAGAGCTGCCCCCCTGGCTGCAGGACCCGGAGCTCACGCTGGTACGCTGCTGCTGCAGGTTTGAGTCCACGATGTTTAAAATGGTTTTTGTGAGAAAACTTCCTTTTTCTGTCTCTGCTCCCAGCTAGTATTATCTGCAATATGATGTCAACATATGGGCTTATTCAGTTTTGTGTGGCTGGGATGATTTCATGCAGTAAAATTAGCAGAAATAACTGGTATTTCCCAGAAGAGAACAACAACAATTTTTTTTTTTACATAGCGTCTCACTCTGTTGCTTAGGCTAGAGTGCCATGGGATCACCCTTGTTCACAGCAACTTCAAACTCCTAAGTGCGTTCAAGTGATCTTCTTGCCTCCGCATCCCAAGTAGCTGGGACTGCTGGTGTCTGCCTAGCTGATTTTTCTATTTTTAGTAGAGATGAGGTCTTGCTCTTGCTTAGTTAGGTCTCAAACTCCTAAGCTCAGGGAATCCTTACACCCCAGCCTCTCAGGGTGCTAGGATTACAGGCATGAGCCACCACACTCAGTCAAAAAAATGATAAAATTCTTGCAAACAATTTAGTTGAATTAAAGAGCCGATATTTAGACTTTGTAAAAAACACTTAGGAACTGTTTGATTTCAGTGTTGGTGTTAAATATTTTAAGTGGCTGTATATTTTACTATTTGAAAACTACCAAGGTTTAAGAATACTTATTTCTTTAGTGTTAGCTATAATTCAAGAAATTAGTGCCCTCTGCAAAGTGTGAAGGTTGGCTTTGTAGGAGGCTGGACAGCAACGCTGGGAGAGAGATGGTTAACATCACCCAGAGAGAGGCTTCCTGGGGAAATCAGAGTCAAGGGCTCTTCCAGGCTTAGTCCTTCTCAGTGTTTTAAATCTGCCATCTGTCATGTGGTAGAGATACGCTGGGAAGTCACGTGTCTGACGGTCCTGACACAGATAGAGTCACATACCAGGTTGGATGATAGACTATCCCGAAAGATCAAAAATGACAGGATGACATTAGTTGGAAGAAAATAGAAAGTTTGTGCTTACATTAGAAAAAACCCAAGAAGTATAGGGAGATCTGCCTAACAATAATTTATGAAGGAAAAAAAAGATGTCAGAATTTTAATTGCTTGCAAGCCCACTATTGGCCTGCAATAAAAGCCCAGCTGTGTTTTAAAAGGAATGCTTCTGAGAATCACACAGTAACAGCCCTATCTTGAACTGGCTGGTCAGAGCCCATCTTGAGGACCAAGTTGTGTTCTGCCTATATCTCCATAGCAGATGGGAGGGCGACCAAGAGAGTTCGTCTCATTCTGGGAGCATTTGGAGCACCTGGGTAGTTGCCTCAAATGTCTTTGAGGGAAACTTTGAGGAAGTTCCCTCAAAAGTCTTTGAGGGAACCTTGTTGCTGGCTAAACTAGTTAGACTGCAGTGGTTCTCAACCTTCCTAATGCCGCAGCCCTTTAATACAGTTCCTGTGGGTCGCGACCCACAGGTTGAGAACCGTTGAGTTAAAGGCTTTATAAGTGGACAAGGTATCACCTGCTTCAAAGGGCAAAACCAGGACTGGTGAGTGAAGGAATACTGGCTCTCTGTTGCATAATAATTCTATAAGCCAGTATAAAATTATCAGCTATCAAAGTGACATTTTGAGTGGGTATAATGGCACATGCCTATAGTTCCAGCAACTTGGAAGGCTGAGGGAGGAGGATCTCTTGAGCCTCGGAGTCCAATCTGAGCAACATAGGAAGACCCTGTCTTTTAAATATCTAGGAAAGATATTTTTTCCTAAGCAAAGATCTATGTCATGTTGAGCAAATTTGGTTTTTCAGTATTAGCTTATTTCTTTTTTATAGAGACAAAATAATTTGATATACTAGAGTTCTTTCCTTTGCAAATGATGTCATTTATGAGTAGGAAAATATTTCAGAGTGTTGGTCAGCTCGTACAGCATGCTTGTGGATGGAGAGAAGACCCTGCTTCAGAAGCAAACAGGGGTTTCAGTGCTTTTGCCTTAAGTCCTGTACTTGACAACTGTAGCTTCATTTCCAGATTGACATAAGATCCTCCTCAATTTTAGGATAACTTTTCTTTCTGAGTCTTTACCCTTTAGGACCTGTTTAGTTTTATGGGCTTAATTGACAATGAATTTGAATTTTTATACTTTCTGAGAAAGCCAAATGTAAATATTGTCCCAAGTAATTAAACATAGAAAAATGCCCTTAAAAAAAGTAAAGCCCAGTATCCCTTTTCTTTTGTTAAAAGGATATATTTGGATAACATCTGCCATTGTAAAAATGGTCTAAGTAGATTGTGTTCAGTCTCAGTATATATTGCATGTGTGTGTGGTGGGGTTTATGGTGGTTTTTCTAACTTAATTTGTGTAAAGTGATAATAGTTTTAAAATTGTCAAGTGTACTTTCCAGATTCTTCTTTTTTCTATGTGTATCAGCCAGTATATTTTTCTCTTGGGAATACAATCTAATTGGATGGTTACAGTGATATTATTTTTGTCATCTAACTTGTATTGAATGCCAGGAGGCCTGTGTCAAAGGAAAAAAGAATACATTATACCTGCCTGTCAGTTTAGTATTATTAAACTTTGGTTCCTATAGATACCAGCTGAAGAAATGACTTTGTTCTTTTCTTGCTCTCATCCAGCTAGAGGACTTGTCCTCATGTTGTCCTAGCTCCTGGCAGTTTCACGTGATTTGCACACTTTTGCCCTATGATGGATTCAGCACATGCTTTGGCTTTGAGGGGACAATGGAGAAGGGAAAGGATGTACAGCTTAGTCTGGCTGTGCTGACTAGACTGCTTTTGTAGCTCCTCCTAGGCGTCCTGCAGACCCTCCCATGGGTGCCTTTCCATTCTTGATCTCGCTCTGGCTCCTCCATCTGCCTTTTCCTTGGAAGGTCCACTCAACAACGGCTTTGTTGAGTGAGCAGGCGTGTGTTGCAGTGTGAACGGAAGAAGTCAGGGTTGGAACAGTTGTATCTCCTTCCATTTGCAGATTGAGAAATTGTTCTCCTAGAACATGATTTAGTTTCAAGATATTAAAGAGAAATGGGAGGGCTAGACTGAGCGACCCCCTCCCACTTCATCTGACCTCAGGGGAAGAGACCCTAGGTTTTCTTTATATTGTGACCATATTCTCTAGCTTGCTCTGTTCCCTGCCTGTGAAGTGATCTTTGTCCTTACTGCCCCTCCTAATAGCCTACCCCATCCCCTCATCTCCTGTCATCCTGCCCAGATTTCCTGTTTGTAGTATCTGTCCAGATCCCAGTCTCTGTGTTTGCTTTCAGGTCATCTGACCCTGACCACAACCATGGAGATGAACAGCCATTGGTGTGGCTGTTCTTAAACTTGGGACAGCACCTCGGTCCCTAGGAAGGTGTACCCTTTAGATCAGGGATCCTTTGGTTTCCACATTTGCTAAATTTTATTATAGAATATCCCTGATAGTGTTTGTTTAGACTGGGATATATTGTGTATCAGAGCTTTTTTTTAATGAGTTAGTTTTGGGGATGGTATATTTTTGTTACTTGGCTGTCCTTACCAAGATGTCAGGAATTAGAGGCATCTGCAAAACAGGATGTTTTATGGTTTAATCATGAATGAAATGATACCTAAATTAGTTACCTACTTTTATTCTTTTTTTGTTTTGTTTTTATTATTGAGACAAAGTATCACTTGGTCACCATCAGTAGAGTGTGCTGGCATCATAGCTCACAGCAACGTCAAACTCTTGGGCTCAAGTGATACTCTTGCTCACCTTCCTGAGTAGCTGGGACTACAGGCGCCTGCCACAAAGCCCAGCTATTTTTTTTTTTTTAGAGACAGCATTTCGCTCTGGGTCAGTCTGGTCTCTGCCTCCCAGAGTGCTAGGATTACAGGCGTGAGCCACCGCACCTGGCCCCTACTTTTATTCTTAAATATTTCCAGTTACTATTTCTTGTTTAAATCTTGTTTCTTCCTTAAATCTCACTTATTCTATTAGAGTCTGCTTCCTATGCTTAGTACAAAAGAATGGCCATTTATATAAGTGCTATATATGTTGTGACCCTGAAAGCATTGAAAGTTATATTCACTTTTTTCTTCTGAATAAGTAATTCCAGCTCCATTATTTTTTTCTAATAGTTTCTTCTTTGTGCCTTATTGTTTTGGATTTTCTCTAGATGAGATTCCTGCTCTAGATACACACAGCCTTGAACTGTGTGATTAGCAACAGTTTGAACAACATGTGAAACAGAATGGGGAAACTGACTTCTATGTTTCACTCAGCAATTAGGTTTTCAGAGTCTCCCGAGTAACTCAGTTACCTGCTTTTTAGATAACTGATGTCACAGGATGCTCGGCTGATCTTCTGGGCTTCCCTTTACCTCCTTTCCCAGTTCACACTTATGTAAGTGCCAGTGTTTTCTGTCCAATTGTATTAAATAAATTTTTGTGCCCAGTTGTAATTTCAGCTTGTTACCACTTGAGGGTGCATTAGGTTCTGGTGATAAATCTGACACTGAATTGAGAGTTTTGCAGCAGAGCTGCCCACATATTGCCAAAATACAGGACAGTGTGTGCCGTGAGCTGGGCTGGTGCAGCTCTTGGGTGGGTGGTCATTTGTCATCCTAGTAAGATGAGGAATGACCACTCCTCCCTTTGCCGAGTGAGCTGAATTGCTGTCACTGTGGTAACAGTGAAGAGTAGTTTACATCCCTGTGGTTCTGTGTTTTGTAGAAATGAAATCACCCCAGTTTCATATAATTGCAGTAGACTGAGGAGGTACAACAGGTTAATATTACCATTCATGAAATGGTCTTCTGAGTCTTTACATTCTAATAGAACTGAGCATGTGGCCTCATTTAAAATTGTATTTATAACTGCTGAACAAGTTTGGGTTCCTCATAGGGTGCTGTAGGATTTAATTATTCTTTAATGGGAGGTGAACTTTTTTTCCAATAGTGAAGTGACATGCCTGTGCCCAGCCTAATTACATGATTTTTCTCTTGACACACCCAGGACTGTTGGGAAAGTCTCTTCCCAAGCTGTCATCAGTCAAGTTATGTCTTAGCTTGCCTTTCAAACTGCAGATTATGTTGATAATTAAGGCGACACAAAATAACAAATACTCCTGAGGAGAAAAGGAAAGGAGACATACAGTGTTTAGCTGTCAGTTCTTTCATGAGGGAGGTGGTCATGGCTGCCTTAACCCTTCCCTGCTGCTGCTCCTCTGCTGTGTTTTTTCATCCTTAGTATATTGGCTAGCCATTAAACTAAATAGTGTCTCTTTGAATGTTAAAACCTTGAGTATATGTAATATTATTTAACAAAGGGATCTTTCTTCCTCTTTTAGTGGATTTTTAAAATATCTGATATTAGATCTTGATGTCCTAATCAGGAAAGGAGCAGATTTGACTTCACCCTGGACCTTCTCACAAGCTTGGAAGTTCCTTCCTAGCCGTATGTTAGGTAGTGGTAGGGAGGCTGCCAGTGAGCTCCACAGCCGAAGGTGGTTGGTATAAAGATGCGTTAGATCATGGTCATGGCCTCACCTCCTCTGTACAGTTGCTGTGGAATGCTGCTGGCCATGGTTGAAGTCTCACGGGGTAGATTGTGGTTTTATCTGTCAGCCAAAAGCACCATTTTACTTCAGCAGCCTTCCATTGGGTAGTACTTTCTGAGTTCCTAACTTCAAAATATAAATCCTCCATCCTGAATCTACATGGCAGATTTGTAGGAATTAATTCTGAAAACAGAGGTAGGTTTTATAGGCTTTATGGTTTCTTACAGCTTGGATAATGTGATGGAGTTCTGGGAAAGTTAATATCGCCTTATCTTTTTGTTTCTTGATGTTCTAGTTACCGGAAAAACTTATAAGCAAATACAGCTGGATCAAGCAATGGAAACTCGGACTGAAATTTGATGGGAACAGTGAGGACCTCGTTGATAAAATTAAGGAGTCCCTTGCTCTGCTAAGGAAGAAGGTTTGAGGGGTGTAATTTCCTGTCTCTGATAAGTGTGAAGCTTTTGCTCCTGATCACCCCAGCAGACCAGCTCTTAAGTCTCTGCTCAGTGGGTTTTTGAATGCCCCTTCTGATTTTAGGCAAAATGATTTTTTTTTTTTGAGACAAAGTCTCACTCTGTCGCCCTGGGTTGTCGCCCTGGGTAGAGTGCCGTGTCGTCGTCACAGCTCACCGCAACTTCAAACTCTTGGGCATGAGCAATCATCTTGTCTCTGCCCCTGAGTCGCTGGGGCTCCAGATGTGCACCACTATGCCTGGCTAGTTTTTCTCTTTTTGGCAGAGACGGGGTCTCACTCTTGCTTAGGCTTGTCTTGAATTTCTGAGCTCAAGCAATCCACCTGCCTCAGCCTTCCAGAATGCTAGGATTACAGGTATGAGCCACCACTCCTGGCCAGCCAAATGATTTTCAATGAACATAAACTCTTCTTGTGAGGTCTTTAGAGAAATGGAGACATAGTACTGTTATATATTCTTTGAGGAGATGCTATAGACTGGGGTATCCGATAATGAAATGTTTAACTTTCTTAAAAGGAACCCTTAGGCAAATGTAGTCTTTGTTTTATGTTATATTAATAAGTTTCAGGGATATCGGTTAGTCCATATTTCATACAGAATTATTAGTGATATTAATCACATTATTAAATTCTTTCTAATTATGCTTATGTTTTAAGAGTCTGCCATATTTATTAAAATCTCATTTTCTTTCTCAGTGATTTACCAGTTAGCATATTTAGTAACTTGTTTTTTGAAAACTGTTCTTAGAGCATCTTTGGAACAGTTGATGTTTGAAATTCTGCCTTTCTTTGGCTTCCCATTACCTCCTCTGTGTGGGATGTCCTGCCTGCATGCTGGCCTGCACTGCCCTTGAGGATGTTTGCTTTGAATAGCTTGGATCCCTCCTTGCCAGGAACCCTGATTCAGAAGCCTGTCTTTTGCTCTGGGCTTTATTGGATGGTAGGGCCTGGTAAGGAGGGGGCTGACACAGACTCTCAAGATCTTTCATAGCACACACCCCAGTTAGTGATCTGACTACTTACATGTGATCTGCTGCCCCATTAGGCTTTCAGGCTCCATGAGAGACTGTATCCTAGGCATTTTGCACCCCGTGCCTAGTGGTAAGCCTAGCACAAAATAGTCATGTGGTGAATACTTTATTGAGTGAATGAACTGAAGGCCCTGGCTTCCTGGAATCTAGTTTTTGCTTACAAAGGTAAGAAGTGTTTACTGGAAAGTACACTGCCAAAGGAAGAACGATAGTTCTATCTTCTACTATGAAGAAATGGGAGAGAAGGGAAGAGGGATTCTGTTCTTATTACCTGTTGGAGTGGAATGCAGGACTTTGTTGCCCAGTCCCTGATCAGTGGAAGGTTGAGGGCAGAGCCCTGGGACTGAATGGGAACACGGGAGTGTTCTTCAGTTCATCCAACGGTCCCCTACTTTTCTTTTCATCTGTTTTTAAAGTCTTGTGAAATTGCTATTTTTGCTTTGTTAAGTGTCTCTGCTATAATTAGACCCTGATGTTTGCAACTGTTTATGTGATGCCCCTTTATAATGACAGTTTTTATTAGTAATGTGAGCCAGTGTTAATTACTAACACTTCTTCTTTGCCGGGCTGTATGCTGAAAGTTTCATATGTTGCTTAATTCTCACAACTGTGAAGACATTGTTGCTATGGTCATCCTCCTTTTGTAGATGAGGAGGACAGGAAGTCAGTTAAATGTGCTGCAAAAGCCACTGGCTGCTTAGTGATGAGGTCTTGATTCCATCTTAACTGTTCAGCCTATAGGAGGGGTGGCCAATCTTTAGGCACCTACATGCAGATTACATGAGGACTTTTTGCTTACCTGTGGTGGTGGATATTAAAAAAATTAATTATGCATGGATCTTTTTTTTCTTGCTCATCCATGTTTGCTGGTGTTTGAATACTTAATGTGTGGCCCAAGACAGCTTAAGTTCTTCCAGTGTGGTGCAGAGAAGCTAAAAGATTGGACACTCCTATGTCTGGAGCCTTGCCCTTGGTTGCCAACTTGATCTACCTCTGGAAGATAGGAGATGTGGACAGCATGCTCCAGCTTCCAACCTAATATTGGAGAGAGTTCTGTGTAGTCATTACCATTAAAATTTACTCTTGGATATGTAAGGAGTGGTATTTATGTTGGCATTTCTTATTCAGTGAGACTTAAAAGCACATGTATTCATAGGTTTCCTTGTTCACTTACAGAGTTTGCCTCTGTTCACTGAATACCTGACACTCTGCTTTATTCTTAATCAGGATTAATAATTTGCTGAATGGATTTGTTCATTTAAAGCTCCTATGTATTTTTCTGATTTTAGTGGCAAGTTTAGTAAACTGATTTTCAGAAGACCCCACACTCTTGCTTGTCTTCTGTTTTGGAGGTTGGCTTTGTGTTTCTGGGTGCTGACTCTCCTGTAGCCCTGTAGGGGGGGCAGTAATTGTAGCTGCTCTTCACAACTTCACCCACAGGCCTCACGCGTGCACATTACCTCTTCTGTAAATATCTCTGATTGACTGGTTCAATCTCATTGCCTGGGAAGTTAGGGGAGTCAGAATTTCTATTACATGGCCCTGGTACTTCTCCTTATTACATTGTACTTTTGTTTCAAATAAATGGACAGAAAAGCTGAATAAGAAGTTTGGTCTAAAGAATACCATTGGTTGAGATAGAAACTTGAATGTTATGAACATTAATTGATAAGTGACCCATGCTTACCTACTTTTGAAAATAACTTTATGCTCATAATATGGAAGTATACCAGGGAGTTTTTTTTTTTTTTTAGACAGAGTCTCATTTTGTCACCTTTGTCACCTTCGTTAGAGTGCTGTGGCATCATAACTCACAGCAACCTCAAACTCTTGGCCTCAAGTGATCTTCTTGCCTTGGCTTCCTGAGTAGCTGGGACTATAGGTACCCTCATAACACCCAGCTATCTTTTTTTAGAGGTAGAGTCTCACTCTTGCTTAGGCTGGTCTTGAACTCCTGAACTCAAGCAATCGTTCCATCTCAGCCTCCTAGAGTTCTAAGATTTCAGGCATGAGCCACTGCACCTGGCCCTACTAGGGATTTTTAGAAGAAAAATTCTAATTCTTACTTTGTTATTGTAGTGGGCAGGCCTGGCTGAAATGAGAACTGCTGAAGCAAGGCAGATAGCTTGTGATGAACTGTTCACAAATGAAGAAGAGGAATACTGCCTCTATGAAGCTGTAAAATTTCTCATGCTAAACAGAGCTATTGAACTATATGATGATAAAGAGAAAGGAAAAGAAGTACCATTTTTCTCCGTGCTCCTGTTTGCTCGGGACACATCAAGTGACCCTGGACAGCTATTGAGGAACCACCTAAACCAGGTGGGTCACACTGGTGGCCTTGAACAGGTGAGTTATATATCCCTTTGGGAGCATATAAACCCCAAATATAGCAGCTTTTAACCATCAAACATCTCACAGCATTTGTGGGTTAGGAATTTAGGAGCAGCTAAGGTGGGCACTTCTGGCTCAGAGTCTCATGAGGTTGCAGACATGTTGTTCAGGTCTGCAGTCATCTGAAGGCTTGACTGGAGCTGGAGGATCTGCTTCCAGCATGGCTAAACTCAAGTAGCTGCAGGCAAAAGGAGTCAGTTCTTTCCGAGTAGGTAGGAGGGTTCATTTCCTCCCCACATGGCCCTCTCCGGAGGGCAGCTTGAGTGTCTTCCTGACATGGCCCCTGGCTTCTTTGAGTGATCCAAGCAGAGAGCAAGGAGGCGGCCACAGTACTTTTTTATGATCTAATCTCAGAAGTCACATTGTCACTTACCCTGCATTCCATTTGCTAGAAGCCTGTCACTAAATCCATTCCACTCTCAAGATGAGGAAATGTAGGTTCCACCCTTTCAAGTGGGGATACCAAAGAATTGTGCATTTACTGCCATTATCTCAGGCTGGGCTTTATTCTGCAGGGTGCTGGGTAGGATCAGTACCCTGTTGGCTCTAGGAGGCTACAAATAAATGAAGCACTCAGAAGAACCATTTGAAGGGTACTGTTAGTCTTGGCAACTGCATTAAAAGTAGAAATTGAGTCTCCATAGCTACTAGAGCCCAGCATGGTCTTGCGTCTTTTTTACAGATATGGAATGACAGATAAGTCTGGAGTTTTACACAGAGAGCCAGTGCAGTATTGTCCCTGAGCCAGAAGTTGAGTCACCGTACCTTGCACTGCCTCTGGTGTTGTTTGTTTCCCTAAAAAGTCTTTATTTATTTATTTATTTATTTATTTATTGAGAGAGAGGTTCACTTTGTCGCTCTGGGTAGAGTGCCATGAAGTCATATAGCTCACAGCAGCCTCAAACTCCTAGGCTCAGGCAATTCACTTACCTCAGCCTCCCGAGTAGCTAGGGCTGCAGGCGCCTGCCACAATGCCCACATATTTTTTAGAGATAAGGCCTCGCTTTTGCTCAGGGTGGTCTCAAACTCGTGAGCTCAGGCAATCCACCTGCCTTGGCCTCCCAGAGTGCTGGGATTACAGCTGTGAACCATTGCACCCGGCCCCCCTAAAATGGGATTTTTTGGGGATTTTTTAATGGGATTAATGGGATTTTTTTTTTTTTTTTGGTAGAATAGCTAACTACTAAAGTAATACTAAGCCCGCCTGCCAAAGTGCCACTCTCCTACTTATACAGCTGACTCTTTTGCCTGCCTTTTTCTTGAAAGCTGCAAGTGCCAGGGCAGATGCTATAAGGAATAGATAGTTGGGCTTCACTCTGAGGTGTCCTAGAAGGTAGGAATTTCTTCTTTTGTTATTCCCAGTGAGTGAAAAAGAGCAAAGACTGATGTTCACTTCTGGGTCAGGCAGAACTGATGATAGTTATTTTGATCTGTACACGTAATATGGCTGGCTTATGTCTCCTTGCAGTAAAAACTCTGCTAGAGCATGGTTTGCATATTACACTGAAGTTAGTCCTTTTGAGCCCCTACAAGGTATGCTGTAATGATGAATCTATTCTTTTTTTTTCCCCAGTAGCAGCTTTTTGGAAATACAATTTATATATGACATAAGTTCACCCTTTTAAAGCTTTGCAACCATCACTATAGTCTCCTTTTAGACCATTTTATAACCCCTAATAGAACTCCCGTGCCCATTAGCAATCACTTTCCTTTCCCCCCTAACCCTAGGCAGTCACTAATACACTTTCTGTCTCTGTGGATTTACCTGTTCTGGACGTTTCATGTAGAGGAAATCGTGCAGGATGTAGTCTTTTGTGAGTGGCTTCTTTTATGCAGCATAATGTTTTTAAGACTCAGCCTTATTGCAGTGTGTCTTAGTATGTCGTTCCTTGTGATTGACATGTAATATATCCTGTTGTGTGGATATATCACATTTTATTGATCCATCTTTCAGTTTCATGGATATTTGGGTTATTTCCACCTGGTATGAATATTCATGTGCAGTTTTTTGTAAGGACATACGTTTTCAGTTCTCTCGGGTATATACCTAGGAGTAGAATCGCTAAGTCATCTGGTAATTCTTTGTCTAACATTTTGAGGAACTGCCAAACTATTGTAGCAGCTGTACCATTTTGCGTTTCCATCATCAACGTATCAGAGTTCCATTTCTCCATGTCTTCATCGATACTTCTTATTGTCTTTTTATTGATGTAATGCTCACATAACATAAAATTAACCATTTTAAAGTATATGACTCGGTGACATTTAGTCTACTTACAATAAACCCCACTTGTATGAATTCAATCCCAAAATGTTTGTTACCCAAAGAAACCCTGTACCCATTGAGCCGTTATCCTCCATTATTATCTTTTTGATTATAGCCATTCTGGTGGGTATGATGGTATCTCATTGTGGTTTTGATTTGCATTTTCTTAATGACTTAGGATGTTGAACATCCTTCGTTTACATGTCTTTGTAGAACTGTCTATTCAAATCCTTTGCTCAATTTTTAAGTGGGTGGGTTTTTTTATGTTTTGGGTACAGGTCCCTTATCAGACATATGATCCATTCTTGATTATCTGATTAATATAATAAAGGATTGGGCTGGGCCCAAAGGGGAGGAAAAAGGGTAGCTTTGCCCTTGTGCATTTTCTGGGATAATGGGTGGAGCAGGATGTTAAGCCCCATCTTTCAGTATTGCTTCTTTCAGAATACCCATTTGCTTTTTTCTACCCAGGTTGAAATGTTCCTCCTTGCCTATGCTGTGCGCCACACCATCCAGGTCTACCGGCTCTCCAAGTACAACACAGAAGAGTTCATCACAGTCTACCCCACTGACCCACCCAAGGACTGGCCAGTGGTCACCCTCATCGCTGAGGATGACCGGCACTATAACATCCCTGTCAGAGTGTGTGAGGAGACGAGTCTGTGAGAGATGCCTGCCTGGACAGCCTCGTGACGTGATAAAGGTGCACAGGCAGCTTCTGGGTTTGGGCCTCAGGCCTGTGGGTCTCCAGGAACAATCTGTGAGAACTCCTAGGCCCCTGGATGCCAAGTGGGAATGGGATGTTCTGAAGACTAGCTTTTGATAATAAGAATTAACCAAATCTCTTTCATCTGTTATGCAATATGTTTCGATGGGGGCCTTCAGTGCATACCTGTTGAAGGTGCAGACTATATCTTCTCCATAAGACAAATACTTTTGTATCAGAGGAGACTTACTTTGGAGAAGAATGTATTCTTTATGTCTCAAAATCAAAGCTCTCTTTAATAGCAAACTGGCTTTTAATTTTTTTAAGACAGTATATATATATATATATACATATATATATATTTTGTGGTAATGGGTTTCTGTAGTAATCTTCCTATTCAGGCTGCTCAAGTGGTACAATTCTGGGATGGATCTATTAATGGCATAGTCATAACACCCTCTGATGGCCTCACTATTCTTAAGGAGGGAAGAGCAATGGTTTGGATTTGTGTATTTATTAAGGCTTTTTTAAGCAGATTGTCTTACAGAACATAGAGAGTTGTGTCCAAAAGTGGGTTATTTCAAGGCCTTTTTGAAGGCTAGCTCAGCATAGGAGGAAATAGTGAGGGAACTTAGAACTTCTCCCTCTGTGAGGCTGTGACAGGTATCCAATGTCCCCAGCATACTGGAGGCTGGGGCTTGGTGCAGGGGCCTGTCAGCATGGATGAACACTGCCTGCAGTTACATTTTGGTGTCAGAAGGTGTTAATTCTGATGTTCCATAGATTCTTAATTTTGTACTTAGAACAGAATTTATTTCACCTATATTTTAGAGGAGGAAATTAGTATTGACCTAAGTTTAGAGGTGGGGCTGAGCAGGAGCCTGGTTTTCCTGTGTCTTTTCACGTTGTTTTGGAGAGCACATCCATTGCCAAATGCACCTCCCACATCTGGTGCAGGGAGTGAGAAACAGCAAATGAAGATTTTTCCTGAGTAAGTTGAAGCGGAGGCTGAGCTGCCTATGCCCATGAATGGTTTGGGAAGCTGAGGGAGGCCATGTTCTTGGTCATGGGCCATTGCGTGCTCAGGACAGGCTGGGGTGGTAACAGGGGTGGTGGGGAAGGGGGAGCCCTGCTGAACAAGGTCAGCCTTAGGGCCTGAATCTTCCTCCAGGGGCATGAACCAGAGATATCACTTAGAATTCTCTGGGCAGCACTGGCTCAACATTTGTGGCAGTGTAAAGTACCGAGCTTTCTTTTATAATTAAAATATTTTATTTGGTCCAATTTAATGTAGTTTGTAAGCTATCTAATCTTTTTTGGGGGAGGGGCAAACTTTCTTTGAAAATGTAAGTTTTGCTTTTAATTAAAAATGTAAGTCTTAGTTAAGAAAACTCAGGACGCACAAAACTATTCAGACTGTTACTTTGGTATTTGTCCCATTACCTCGTTAGTCATATTCACCACATTTTGTTAGATGTTAATTGATTAGAATGTTGGAATCAAATTCTGCTCTGAATGTGTGTGAATGCATTAGAGAGGCTTTGTTTTCACTGTGAAATACAAAGGTGCCTTGAATAAGAAGGTACCTAAAAGCCAAATTAAAGTAATAATGACTTCTTATTGGCTTTGCTGCTTCATTTTAGTATTTGTAACTGTACATCAGGAAATGCTTACCATTTATTTTTGCACATATAAAAAAATACAACTTGATGTGTTTAGTTCATACATGGCAGTAGGGCTCTGTATTCCTCATGTATATTGAATCTGAACATTGATTCATGTACGCTATTGAATTTTGAGCATAGACTTCCTGGGTGTGTCTTCTTTTGATGTTAATACTCATAATGCTAAGTATTAGACCCTTTCCCACTTACAGGGGAAGGATCATTCTTGGCCTCAGTTTCCCCATCTGCTTCTTGGTCAGATATGTGGTTCACTTTGGCATAAACACCCTGGGGCCCATGGCTTCCCTCTACCTTTGAGACAGAGTAAAGGGGATGTCAGTACTCATAATACTCAGGGTAGAGGAGATGGTAATACTCATAATACTCATTTATCTTTGCATTTGGAAAATATCTAATCTTAGTGAACTTGAACTGGATTTGGGGGTGACTTAATTGTTTACATTTCATATTGTTTTTTGATCCTGTGTATGATACTGTTAAGAGTGAGTACAGAAATTGTGGTCTTAACCACCACATTGATAAAAGTATAATAGGGTGTGTTCATGCTTTCTGTCCCAAGGCCTTGTTACTCTGCTGTTAGACTATTGTTCAGGCTTGTGGGATCATAGCATCAGAGAAGCAAAGCTTTCAAAGGAATAGCAGTACTTCCGGAAATAAAAATGATTAGCCAATCACTTTTTTTTTTTAAAGAGGGGTCTTGCTCTGTGGTCTAGGCTGGAACTCCTAGGCTGCAGCAATCCTCCTGCCTTGGCCTCCCAAATAGCTAGGACTATAGGTGCACCGCACCACACCTGGCTTTTTTTTTTTTTCCTGTAGACATGATCTCAGATGTTGCCAGGCTGGTGATTGCCAAACTTTAAAAATAACATTTCTTTGTCATTTGTCCACAGTCTCAGTTCCATTTCTCATTCCTATTCTTGAAATGGTTGGGTGAGATCGACAGGTTAGAAGTAAATTGAGATGTAAATGGATTCAGGAGGATAAATATACTTAGAAGGATAAGGTGTTCTAGAAGAAGGAAAAGGAGTAGGGACTATATACTATGCGTACTTTCTGTCCCAGACTTTATTGCGAGAGTTCAGAGGTTTTTGACCCAATGGTATTAGCAGAAAAATTACCTCATCCTTAAGCAGCTATGACTTGCACCTGTGAGTTCATTTAAGGTGCATTTACACCTAAAAGAATTTCTGTCATGTTCCATTGAGTTAATGTTCCTTTTCCAGAACATTTTCAGATTCCCTCTTCACCTCCTGAGCTGCTTCTACATATACCAGTTGTTTTCACTCATACACATGAACAGTGATGTGGCTTCAGAGAAGTCAGTAGTATATGGTCTCCAGTATAAGACTTGGGCATGGGTGGGATTGAATCTGAAATGTTTGCAGTTCCTCCTTTGAATAGGTTATATATGAAAATGTTTTAAATGAACAGGATTAATTGTGTTTTTTTTCTATAGCCATTTGCACTTTTATTACATTATTATATATTCAGTTAATGTCTACTAAGATTTTTCTTTGATTAAGGAGGACTTCGCCTTTGCATCTTTTTCGTATCTGGTAAAATCTCAGGTCATATGAATTGATCACACTTTTTGGAAGAAACATTTGTGGATTTTTATGTGTGTGACCTTTTCTTTGTGTGTGTAGGATGCTCTGTGTTACCATCCTGTCCTCCTAATTGCCCCATGCCCAGAAGTGCTGTTTTACTTTGAAAATCTTCCAGACAGTGACTGAAGCGCTGTGTTACTTTTAATGACAGCACTCCTGCTGTCTGAGCATCCACATAGGACTCACATAGACTTTCTGGGTGTGTCTTCTTTTGATGTTACAATACAGTTTGATCATTTTCCTGTCTGTTTCCTTAAGCAGTGCTTTGCAGGTACCCCCCCCTTTGAAAGTCAGAAAGTATTTCAGAAGCACAGACTATTGGGGAATCTTACTTGTAGGTATGTATACAAATAAATGCCTTTATTTCACATCTGTGGCTACTTAAAAAAAGCTTAATGTATGTGAAGTGAATCTGAAATGTATGAAACAGAGTGTTCTCAAATAGTTTCGTGAAGTTAGTTAAGCACAATATCAAGTAATTTCCAAGTGGTCCAAAAATCTATAAAAAGGAGTGAACTGAAGGGGAACTAATTTTAGAATAAATTTTAAAATGCCATTAAAAAAAAACAGATGCCAGACAGACCTCCCTGTGCTTAACTTACAAAAGAGTAAAAATACGAATAAATGGAAGAACTTAGGTGCATGTAGTCTACAAATTCCAATTTCTAAAATTTAAGTCCCCTATTTGCAAGAAGTATTTTATTAATATTTAATACTCAACCATTTTGGGAAACCTCATTGTGATGTCTTTCGAGGGGGTGGACAGACCAGGGTAGCCAAGGCTGAGTTAAGCGAACATGTAAATAAAGTAAATACATGGTGATTGATCCTTAATGTTCTTGTCATTCAGTATGTAACTTGGAGCCAGAAAAGCACAAAACTAAACTGGTTTGGTCTGCCACCCTGGGCTTTTCCTGTAAGTCAGTAGCAGTAGAGGTGAGGGCTTGGCTATGACCAGGAGGGGTGTATGTACATGTGTTGGTCTGAAGTCACAGAATGCTTTCTGTATGTGCACGTGGCCCTACAGCTTGAGATCCGTAGCAGTATTCTGGGAGGGTGGAAACAAGCTGTCCCGTGTGACTGTTTTTTTATTCATAGTAAATTGAAATTTATAGCTGGGAATGGTGGAGTAGGTAGTATGTATAATTAAAATATATACAGTGGCTATTAAGTCTAGAGACATTAATTACATTGAAATGTCATATCAATCCATTTATGACGTATAGGTTTGCAGACTTTGTGGCCAGCTCCCTGTTTAAGCATTTTGAATGCTCGCTAATAGCATTCAGTAGCAGTAATGGAGGAAGACACTTTGGTGTTTTATTGCAGTTCGTCTCATTGATTACCAGATTATAAGTTTGGGTCAGAAATGAAGTTGCTAAGACATGATTCAGTACAAGGAAAGGACACAGGGTTCAAAATGTCCACAGTCTTGGCAGTAAGTAGTTTTCCCAGCAACTAGAAGTGGTTGAGCTTAATTCTGAACTTTACAATTATTTTTTGTGCTTAATTTTAGGAGTTTTCATTTATACATCAAAAAATGCCTTGATCTGTATTTACATAAATGGTGCTGAAAATACGATACCCTCTTAGGAACCACAGCAGTCCACAGTAATAATGTTGGTTACTTCTGGATGTGGGAACAAAGCCAAAATAAATGTACTTAACGAGCCTCCTTCTCATTTGCATTGTTTTTATAAAAGTAGTTTGGGGCTGTTACCTGGATTTTAGCAACTTTAACTTTTTATATATTAATTTAGAAGAATAATAGTCCAATTTTAGAACTTTTGTCATTGGCAATGGTGTTTTTTGTCCCTGGGTGGGGGAGCATGCTCTGTGACTCTGGCTGGCTCATCTTGGCCTGTTGAGCAGTGAGTGTCTCCTCTGTTTACACTGCAGGATGTTCAGCATGTGCCAGAAATTTTGCCTGCTCTGAAAAGCATGCCCTTGCGGCTCTGGGCACTTTGGGGCTTGCTTCCCTTTTGTAGATGTGGCTGGACGCCTGGCTCATGGGGCAGGTGTCTCTCGTCATCACTGTCAGAGGCTGAACCGACTCAGGGCTATGCTGTTGATTCCCTTTTGCAAAGTCAGTCGCTGAGGATTGTAAAAATAAATAACTAAAAATAAACTTAGAAGATAAAACTTAGAACTCTGTCTGAGATGCTGTGGTTAAATGCCTGATTTGAGGTCTCTGGCACATGGCAGTCCAGTTTCCGGCATCCATAGGCTGGGCCTGGTGCTGTCCAGGAGCTGCTTCTTGACTTGACCCTGCCCATTGTGAGCAGAGGAATCAAGGGCTTGGAACGGTGGTACTGGGCAGTGAAGAGTCAGAGGAGATGAAGCATTTAGCACTGTGCATGAACAGTAGTAAGTGCTCCAAAAAACTGAGCTGCACAGTTTTCACTGGGGTCTAGATTCAACAGCAGTCACAGAGTCCACGCCCAGGTGAGCTTGTGCAGGTCCCTAAACCTCTCTGAATCTGTTTCTTCATCTCTGCTGGGCACTGTCTATCTCTGATAGTGGTGTGGATTAAGTGAGAAGAAGATCCCCTGGGCCTGTAGAGGCTGAACTCCCAGTCCTGACCCGGACCTGGCTGTGTGTTTGCTGAGAGACACACACCCCACACTCCATACCTTCCTCCCCCCGCCCGTGCTCCGCCACCTCAACCTTCACACAGCTGTGTGCAGAACTCCAGGGATGGGATCATAAAGCAACTGTTTTTGTGTTCCACCGTCCAGGATGTATTCAAGGGGAGAATCCCTTACTCCTGAGTAAAAATTCAACTCAGGGTATCATGACGACCTTTCTGAGCACTCTGGGGTAACAGAAACACCTTATAGCCATCTTCAGTTGGTAAATGCTATTCTAATTTAGAAATTAGATATCCTATTGTGACCACTTGCTGACTGCTCTGTCTTGCCTTCCTGAGTGGGAACAGGAGAAGGGAGGGAGCAGAAGTCTTAACTCCTGGTAGTAATGTCCTAAAACGGCCTCATT